TTTGTTGAACATGTACGTTTTACGAAGGGAATGGGCCAACTTTTGCGTCTAGGGGCCCTCTTGGGACGCATGTTGGAGGCTTCTTGGGGCGTCTTGGGGGCGTCCTTGGACGTCTGGGGTCTCCGGGGGCCTCTTGAGGGGCCTCCTGGGGGCCTCCTGGCGGCCTCTTGGGGCGGAAGGCTCGAGCTTGCGGTTCGTGGTCGCCCTCTGGGCCCCCTCTTGGGCCCGTCTTGGGGCCCTCTTGGGCCATCTTGGGCGCCTCTTGGGCCGTCTTGGGGCCCTCTTGGGCTGTCCTGGGGGCTTCTTGGGCCGTCTTGGGGCGGTCTTGGGCGCCTCGTGGGCCGTCCTGTAACGTCGGAAAGCCCAAAAGACAACTTTGTTGAAAAATGTACGTTTTACGCAGGGAATGGGCCAATTTTTGCGTCGAGGGGCCCTCTTGGGACGCATGTTGGAGGCTTCTTGGGGCCTCTTGGGGGCGTCCTTGGACGTCTGGAGGCCATCTTCAGCATCTCGGAGCCCTCTTGGAGGCCTCTTGGAAGTTTCTTGGGCCGTCTTGGGCGCTTCTTGGGCCGTCTTGTCTGACTGGGAGGCCTCCGGCAAGCCCCGACGAGCCTCCGGCCCCCCGGGGTGCACATTTGCGGTCGAGGTTCCCGGACCCGGATCAGGTTGCAGTTGCCGCCGTATATGTATTTTTTTTAGTAGTAGTAGTAGTTAGTTAGTAGCAGTAGTAGTAGTGCAGTAGTAGTAGTAGTAGTGTAGTTAAGTAGTAGTAGTAGTAATAGTAGTAGTAGTATAGTAGTGGTAGTAGTCGCTTCTGTATATCGGAGTAAGTCGCATTAACACAAATACTGAAACAATCATAATCGCAGTCGTAGTAGTAGTAGTAGTAGTAGAAGAAGAAGCAGTAGTACTCGTAGTCGTGGTAGTAGTAATAGTAGTCGTCGTAACCGTGGACGTAGCAGTAGTAGTAGTAGTAGTAGTAGTAGTAGTAGTAGTAAAAGTACAAGCCGTCGTCGTCGCCGTAGTAGTCGTGGTAGTAGTAGCGGTAATAGTCTTAAGAGCTGCGTAATAGTCGCAGTAGTCGTAGTAGTCGCAGTAGTCAAAGTAATAAAAGTAGAAGGGGTAAGGACACTAGTATAATTACTACTGGTAGTAATAATAGTAGTACTAGTACTCGTCGTAGCTGTCGTAATAATAGTGGCCGTACCTGTCGTGCTAATAGTGGGCATGATAGTAGTAGTAGTAGTAATAGTAGTAGTAGTAGTAGTAGTAGCAGAACTAGTAGTAGTCGTAGCAGGGGAGTGGTAGTAGCAGAGAAATAATAGTCGTATGTAGTATGTCGTCTGTAGCCGTAATGGTAGTAGTAGTAGTAGTGGTAGTAGTAGTAGTAGTAGTAGTAGTAGTAGTAGTAGTGGTAGTAGTAGTAGTATTAACAGAAGTAGTAGTAATCGGGTAAATCAATTGTGCAAGTAGTAAGTAGTCGATCTATAAGTGGTCGACCTCCTACTTAGTAGTAGTAAAGTAGTATCGTATAATAGGTACTAGCACTAGGTTACAAGAACAAGTAGTAAGTAGAAAGTAGTAGATGTAGTGGTGAAAGTACTACGGGTAGTAGGGTCGGTGGAAGCAGGAGTCGTAAAAGTAGTAGTAGTAGTAGTAGTAGTAGTAGTAGTAGTAGTAGTAGTAGTAGTAGTAGTGGTATTAGTAGTAGTAGTAGTAGTAGTAGTAGTAGTAGTAGTAGTAGTAGTAGTAACAGTAGTGGCGGCGGAAATCGCAATCATAATAGAAATACTAAGTAATCGTGGTGCCCGTCGAAATGGTAGCCATAGTAGCCGTAGGACTACTGGCGATGGTAGTCGTAGCAGTAGTAGTATCAGTTGTAGTACCAAAAGTGGCAGTAGTAGTAGCAGTCGTAGCCGTAGTAATGGTAGTATTAATCGTATTAATAGTAGTGGACGTAGTCGTACTAGTGATAGACATAGAAATAGTAGTGGTGGTAGCCGTGGTGGTAGTAATAAAAAATAATAAGTGTAGTCGTCGTCGTACTGGTAGCCGTATTGGTAATGCTGCGAATTATAATTATAGTAGTGAGAGTAGACGTAGAAATAAAAGTGAAGAAGGGCCCGAACGACTCACACCAGGACGAGAAACCCCAAACGACTCAAATCACGAGGAGCGCTCTCTCTCCCTCCTCCTCCCCCTCGTCCTTCTCCCGCTCCCCCCACAAGGAGGATGTACAAGGAGGCGGGAGGAACAAGGAACAGGGGAGATATGCGGGGCCAAGCGGACACACGCCTGAAAAAACACGACTGTCGGCATGCTTCGCAAGAGTTGCTGCTGTGAGATGGGCTGGTGGGGATACGCGAAGCGTAAATAATTATAGTAGTGAGAGTAGACGTAGAAATAAAAGTCGTAGTTGTAGGAATAGTCGTAGTAGTAGTAGCTATAATAATGATAGTAGCGTTCGTAGTTGTAGGAGCAGTAGTAGTAGTAGCAGTAC